TAATAAAGTGGCCGGTGAGTGTAGATTTGACCAATCAGAGGCCTCCTGTCTGCGGCACTGTCTGCGGTCCCCTGCAATTTTGGAGAGGAGCAGCAGAGTGTCTGTGGAAGGGGCGGGGGCACATTGGCATTCACACACGCATACCACCTGGTTTCTGAGTATAAACCAGCCTGTTAGACCATGGTATAAAGGGGGAGGGCTGGGTAGCGCTGTGGCCATCATCTCTTAGCTCGGTCAGTTAGCCATATTAAGCTACACTACTTTTAAATTTGTGTCAACAACAACCATCCGTTTTCTACAAGTAGAATTACCGTTTTCTTCATGTAAAATCTCTACAAAACAATTTTTTTAAGATGTCCCATTTGTCCTCCTCTGCCCTCAGATCCTAATAAAAAGAATGAAAATAAGCTGAGACTTGTTTTGTCATCTTGTTAAATAGTAGAGCTCAGTCTTAGAACGCAGTACTTTCCTTCAAGACTGACAATGATTGTTTTCTACTTTCGGCTACTTTAGATCACCAATGTACTTTAAAATAGTAGATAAAATGTTGACACTCCAAAAGAGATTTGAACTCTAAGAAACAGCTGCAATACAGTTTGTCCGAGTGGAGTTGCCATGACGTCATAAGCAGGGTCAGGGCTCTGAGCAGGTCTGGTATTTACACCGGCAGTATGCTGGAGGTCTGCTGTTCCCAACAAGAACTGCATATTTTAGTGGGATCATAATCCTGATGAAGAGATGAACAAAGGATGTTTGGAGGTGAACTTTCTCACTTAAAAATATGTTAAAACTATTTTTCCAGCTTAAAGTACATAAAGCAAGTTGCTCTCTAGCTTGAAGCTAAAGAACAGAGCAGATAAACACCAGAACATCGAAGCATCAAAGCAGCTGGACCTCACTTTGATCCAACGTCCACATTTCTGTGTTTACAAGTTTTTGACGCCCGTAACGCATTTCTGAACACAGCATAAGTAGTCGAGATTATAACCACACAATGAGCCATGATGTTAAGCTTCCTACTAAAAAGTAAACAAATTGCCAAAGCTTCCCATTTTCAACCTGGTTTACCTATAATCTGAGATATCCTAAAAAACTACGCTACATTCAGACCGCAAGTGCTGGAAGCAGCAAAAAGCTTCTGCTGCTTAATTTCTAAGGTTTGTCCACATTAAGGTCAGACATCCAGTAAAGTGTATCTAGATGCATCTGATGCTAATGTTAATTTAGGCGTTAATAAACTGTTTCAGAGGAGTGATCATAGCACTCTGCATCAGCAGCGCTGTGTCTCCCTGCCAGCTCCCAGATCTACTTCTATAATTGGTTCATGTGGCGCATCAAGCAGCATAGATTACCTTTTTCCAATTCCAGCATCTGCTGCTTTTGAAGAGCGTTGCACACCTCAGATGCTCAGAAGCTCATGAGGCGCTGCTCAAGCTGCTTGAAATGCGCCGCAGGTCCTTTTGATGCACCTTGATGTGCATCAACCATTGACTTTGCATGTAAACAAACTGCTTTTGCAGCATGCGGCCTGAATGTAGCATTACAGTCAGCTTCTCCTTTAAAAGGAGAAGGATTATTTGGCCTAGTGAACAAATAATTGACTCTTAAGCAAAGAGTGACAGCTTAACTTTTACTTCATACAATCCAAAGATTACCGTACCTGTTGTAGCTATGCAGTCAAATCCAACAAAAGCATAGAAACAGGTTGCTGCTCCTTTTAAAGTGCCATCGAATCCAAAAGGGAAAAATCCACCAATGCCAAAGTCAACCGTTTGATTTTTGGTTGACAAATGGTTTCTGTGGAGCAGTTAAAAGAAACCTGTCAGCCTTTTGAAAATATATATTTAGCTAAAAATAAAGAGGTTTACAACATCATGTAGCATTGCTGTCTGCTACTGGAGACTTTGGAGACAACATCTAAAAGCAGCGAACTCTGCTCTCCAGAGCG